CCTCGGTGGTCCCCACTGAACCCCATCCTGTCCTACTGAGTCCTGCTGGTCCCCACTGAGCCCCACCCTGCCTCGGTGGTCCCCACTGAACCCCACCCTGCCTCGGTGGTCCCCACTGAGCCCCACCCTGCCTCGGTGGTCCCCACTGAGCCCCACCCTGCCTCGGTGGTCCCCACTGAACCCCACCCTGCCTCGCTCCCAGCCAGGTGTGCTTATGTTGCAGTGGAATGTGAGCAGCTCAGGCCCTCAGTCAGGCTTCACCCCTTGCTCCAGGGTTCGTGTCAGTACCTGGGAGATGAAGTCCTTGTCTAACTCTTCCTCAGGCTTCTCAGGACCCCCTGAGGCTGCCTCGCGCCCCTCCTGGATGCCGTAGTTCTGAGACAGGATCTCTGCAAGGCTGAACTGGTGGTCGGTGGAGCCCATGGACACAGCTACAGAGGAGAGGGCAGGAGGTCCTTCACCCATCAGGGGCTCTGGGGCTTCAATCCCCACCCCCGGTGATCAGATGGCTCAGTGGAGGTGCAGGGCATCCGCTCCCACCCCCTTCCCACAGCCCCTATTCTCCAGTCCCCACCCCCTTCCCATAGCCCTGATTCTCCATCAGTGACGGCCCCTGGGGGACAGTTGGGAACACTCAGCCAGCCTAGTACCTGCTGCTGTCTGCAAGCCGGGCTCCACGGGGCACAGACCGTGGGTGAGGCAGGACACACGAGGATCCTGCCGTCCTGCCGAGGAGGCCTGCGGAGGAGAGGGTGACCATCAGGCACATGCTGGACCTTGGGGAGGAGCCCCAGCCAGACGGTAGGTAACTGGAGCTGATGAGGGGGCAGGAGATGTCTACATGCTTCTGGAAGCAGATCACCAACTCTGGTCCCAGGAACATTCACTCCTGGGACTCAGCTGCCACGCTGTGAGGAAACCCAGGTCACATGGAGAAGCCACACACAGGGGTCCCAGCCTGGCCAGCATCAACACCAGCATATGGGGAAATGTATGAGTACACAGCCTTAGCAGTAGCCCCAGCCCCAGCCCCCAAGTGACCACAGTGCAGGCGCCCAGGAGACAACATGGCAGTTGTGGGTGTTTGAAGAGAAAAGCACCGGGCTGAGGCCTGTCCACCCCCACAACCCTGGGAGTGGACACAGCAGCGGCGGACTGTTTAAGGAAAGCCACAACTAGGTCCTATCCATCCTCCCAATACTGGATCTGAGTGCTCTAAGTGAACCACACAAGATAACGCCCTGGCTGCGGGTGTCTCCGTGAGAATCACCCGGCTGAGCCCCGTCTATGGTCCGTACCACAATGACCCAGTTGCATGTGTGTCTGCGTGAGAACCATCCGGCTGAGCCCTGTCTGCCCTCAGACACAACTGTGGGTATTTTAAGCCACTTGAGGTTGAGGAAACTCACTATGCAGTAACAAATGTAACTGGAAGGATCTTCTCCCATGAGTCACCCTTGACCTGCTTACCACTGGTCTGCCCAGTGTTCCAGGGCTCATCAGGCAAGGAAGCAAGCACCAAGTGCCCACCCATCTCCACCCACACAGGGTCACTCACAAGTATCTGAGTATCTGTGTACAATACAGAGAGAATGGGCAAGGAACCTATTCAGTGGAGGCTTGCCTCCCCTGCCCCCCCACAAAGGTCTATAGAACAAGACAATGAAAGGAAGCCCAGGGGACCCACTGCAGGATTAAGTGGAAGTCTAGGTTGGGAGCTGCATTGTAACCTCAGGACAGTGAAAAGTCATACAAGGTTCTAAGCAGAAGAGATGAGGTTCCTGTAACACTAATCTGGTTTCCCTGAGGACACCTACAGTTACATCACTTACGACAACAATCCACCAGCCGATGCAGATTCAGGCTCACGGTTACAACTACAAGACGTCATTTTATGGGTTAAAAACAGATGAGTACTTGCAGGGTATACCCTTTGGTTGGTCGATGATGCATGGAGGGGATTGTAATCATGGCAATGGAATGATATACGACAGGATGAATGTAAAGCAAATGTTCTCCCATGTAAACTGTCACATAATTCACAATAACACATTAAAAAAAAGACTGTGCAGGGAAGATAGATTCCCCACTGAATCATTTTCATCTTGTCTAGATGGGTCTGGTAAAAAGAGGTGGGTCTGAGATTCTTAGGACTCAGTAGTGAGTAATTGTTATCATGACTAATTGCGACTGTCACAATCGTAGTGATAGAAGTTTTGTAACAAAAACAGGGGAGTAGTTAATCTTACAGTCCAGGAACACAGGATCCTAGGACCATCAAGGGAGAAGAGCATGAGCAGAATGTGGGACCTTATCCAGAGAAGCAGCGACGCCAGAGACGGGGACATGGAGAGAAGGAGCAGCTGAGGACTCTAGATTGATGGAAAGAGAGGGACTGACAGCTGGCAGCCAGGTGGCAGGCTTGCAGAATGTGCCCTTTGGTGGTTTAAATTATTATAAATTCCTGAGTTAAAAAAAGAAAAAGGAGCTACAATGAATAGAAATACTGTTAACTGATGGTACATGGAGGGGATTATAGTCATTGTAAAGAAACAAAGTGTATGAAACTGATGATCTGCCCTGTAAACTTTTACTCAAATCACAATAAAAACAAAAACTCAAACAAAACAGGTGAGTAGGAGTTCTGGTATGGCACTGTAGGATAAACACTAGACTGCAAGGTTGGTGGTTCAAACCCACCACTGCTCCTCAGAAACCCTATACAGGGTAGCTATGAGTTGGCATCGACTCAATGGGCCTTAACATCAGCCACCTCACAAGGTTTCACTCACACCCACAAGCCACTGCACTAGGATCTCATGAGATCTCTTGGCTCTGGAAGGTCCACCACTAATGCCCATCTTTGAGATGGGGAAACAGGTTCTGAGATGCTTAGTCACCTGTCCAAGGTCACCTGAGAGGCTGGCCAAGCCACCTAACTCCCCAGTGTCCCACAGATGCAGTCTAGAACATCAGACCACTGTATGACAGGCCCAGGAACGGTGTGCAGGTAGGGCAGGTCGGACCGTGTCTATCTTACCCCACCCTGCTGCCTGCCCATCAGACACACACACACACACAGTCAGAGTAAGAGCCAGTAGTCAGTCAGTACCCTCTTAGGGCCTCAGTTTCCCTAAATGCCCCCTAAGGAAGAAGGAACTCTCCAAGAACCCTCTGGCGCAGCCAGCCCACACAGGGCAGAAACCGGCTGGTGAGGTTGCACGCCTACACCCTCTACTCTGGCGCAAACAGCCAGATGACTGGAGAGAAGAGTCTCAGCCCCACTTCCACGTCTCTTCCCCTGTAGCCCATGTCCAGTGCTGGCCTCCCCTGCCCACTAGATGAGGGTTGCTCCGAGGATCTGGTTGGTGTGAGCCTTATCTTCTGATCCCCAGAGCTCCGCAAGGGCGGCACAAAGCCAGGGTGGGTTCAATCCTGCCGGAGGTCCAAGTTGCTGGTCCCTTCACTGACCTGAAGGAGACCTGGTGATGCATGGGCTACTAACCTATACGTCAGCGGTTGAAAGCCACCACCGGTACGTTCTGAGAGAGAAAGCTGTTGCAGGCCCTGAAACCCTAGGGGGCAGCTCCACGGTCAGAATGCACTGAAAGTAGTGAGTTGGGTTTTGGGGTTTCACTCCTATGACCTCATTTCATCCTCGCTGGGACTCTGTACAATGGTGGTCCACCCCGATTTGTCTGGAAATCCAAAAACTCGAAACCCGAAAACTTTCTGGTTCGTGGTGTGGCCAGATACAAGGCTATTCGGTCTGTCTTTACCCCAGACAGCCCTGTGTGCTCTTACCTTCCCGAGTGTGAAGGCACGACCCACCCCTTCACAGAGAAAACCCCACCCTGAGATCCCGCGGGGGTCTAGGCCTGCTCCCACGATGGGGACCAGGGACTCCGCGAAGTAACTTCCCGCCCTGCTGCCGGCTGCCCTCACTCAGCGATGACGCCTCTGGCTGAAGGTGGCGCTGGGTCCCGGGTTCGGATCCCACCCCGGGTCTCAGCAGCTGCACGAGGCTCAGCACCAAGCAGGCCGGGAGGTCGCGTCCCCCCGGAATTCCAGGAGAGCAGGGGTTCCCGGCAGCACTCTGCAAAGTTTGCGGGTGCTGGGGGAATCCCGCGGGTCGGACCGGGGGCAGGGGACGGGGGGACGCAGATGCCAGGTCAGCCCCGCCCGTCACAGTCCCCTCCCGGGTCGGAGGTCCCGGGGGCGCCAAGACCCCCGCCCGCCCGCGCCCCGCCCCTCCCCGCAGCCGCCACGCATGCGCAGCGCAGCCCGCGATGTGGCACAGGGAGGGGGGGTCGGGCCGGGGGCGGCTGCCGACGGAACCCCGCGCCTCTGGCCCCGGGCGGATTCCGCACCCCGGCCTGGCCCCAGAGCCGCAACGCAAGCATCTCCGCGCCCCGGATTCCAAACGTGGCCAAAGCTGGGCGGCAGGGCCGAGCCGCGGGGCGGGGACCGGCTTCCCCGGCTCGCTCACTCACCTCCGCCATGGCCGTGTGTGCGCGGGAGGCGGTGGCCGCGCCGGGATCCCCGGATGCGGGGCCGCGCGCTTATTGGCTGCGACGTGCGGGGGCGGGGCCGGGGGCGGGCCGGCGCGTAGTAGGTGCGCGCGCGGACAAGGGGGGATCCCCGGCGCCGCCTGCCGGACTACTGGGGCGCCGCTGTGCATCGGCATCGCCACTCCTGGGCCTGGGAGGCACCTGATCTGAGCACATGGCCCATGGGACCCATGGGGAAGTGAACCATTAGAGTGGGCTTTGAGACATGGGTACCCCATACCGGGGTGGACAAGGGAGGTGGATTCGAACTCAGGGCCACTTGACTCTGAAACTGGCATGTATCTTCATCATGCTTGGTAAAGTGGAGGGTCAGCGAAAAGGAGGAAGACCCTCGTTGAGATGGATTGACACAGTGGCCGTAGCAGTGGGCTCGAACATGAAGACTGCCCACAGGATCGGGCAGTGTTTTCGTTCTGTTGTGCATAAGGTCGCTATGAATCGGTACCAACTCCATGGTAACTAACAACAAAAGCATGTATGGGGGTCCCTGGGTGACTTAAGGGTTGTTTGACTGCTAGCTTCAAACCCACTCAGAGAGAGGCTCCTTGGAAGACAGGCCTGACCTGGCAACAAGAAGGGCTCAAACTGAACACTTGTGAGGATGGCCCAGGCCCGGGTAGGATTTCCTTCTGTTGTGCAGAGGTTGCTATGAGTCGGAGTCAGCTGGATAACATGTACCAACATCTCCACTTCCCTATAGATTCCTATAGCCAGCGAACACCTCTTCCTCCTCACTGTCTCCCATCTTCCCCTACAACCATGGCCCTCTCCACACCTTCTGCCTGCATGCTTAACATCAGTTTGAACTTGAAAATCTGGTAAATCCTTGTCTCCATACCCCACTCCTAAACTCCCCGAGGTCAAGCCCGAGGAAGCTCTTGTTCAAACTCCAGCCCAGCCACGTGACACACACTTAGTCACATGCTTGCTTCTGTTAAGCCCACTCCAACTCCTGGTGACCCCGGGTGTGTAGAGCTGAACTGCTGCAAAAGCTTCTCAAGAGAGTGAAAGATGGTTTGACTGGATGGGTGGATGCTGCTTCTGACTAAAACCAGGAAGAAAGGAATTGGGGAGGGCAAGGGACTCAAGAGTCCTATATGATTCCCCGCCATCAGTGGATGGAATAGTGAGAACTCGGATGAACTAACTGATACCCAAGGATGACCTCAACCCTCAGAGAACTGACTACCGAGAGGGAGAAAAACTATCCTAGAAAGATCTGCCCCTGACCTCTACAGTGAACCTGAGTCCGGGAGCCCCACGCCACCCCTTTTACTGGCTTACATCGTATGGGGGTTCAGGCACTTGTGAAGATGACGCAACTCGTATAAGGAAGAGTTCATTCATCCAACTCATGAACTCAACTGTTCTGTGGTTTACATGCAAGAGAACATCTTTGCTCTACTTATTCTTGCAACTATTCTCCAAACTTGAACTCACTTTCCAATAAAATATATTAAAAAACAAAACCAAACCTAAAAGGGTAGGAAAAGCACCAAGCCCTGAATGTGCTTTGCACTATTCAAGGACACTCCTAGAGCACATGCAGCCATTTGGGGGTTTCCTGGCACTGCTCTGTCCAGTGTTGACCGTTGGATAAAAGCTGTCCCAGGAGTCGAACCTGACCATTAGGCATGGACAATACCCAGAGAGCCGTTGAATCTGGGGACCAGATGGTTGTCGTTGTGAAGATGGGCTGCTTAGTCACAGAGGGAAGACTTCTGTAGTAGCACATCCACCATATTTTGCGTTTCATTGTTTCTTTGTTTTTACTAAGTATGTGGTATCTTGTATTTTTATTCTGGTGTGACCTTTATAATTAAAATTTCATGCATCTACTCGGTTCTATTTCTTGACACCAGTACTGTCCAATAGAAATACCTCATAATACAAACCACATGCATGATGTTTAATTTCCTAGTCACCACCTTTAAAAAGGAGTCCTGGTGAGGCACTGTGGTGGGTTAAAACACTAGACCATAAAGTCAGTTTGAACCACAAGGTTACCGGTTCAAACTCACCATCCGCTCCTTGGAAACTCTATACAGAGTTGCTATGAGTCAGAACTGACTTGTTGGTACTTAACAACAACCTCTAAAAAACTGGCCACGTAAAAAGAAAGGTGATATTGATTTCAATAATATATTTAACCTGGCATAGCCAAAAATCTTCTCAACATGTAATCAACATAAAACGTTCCTTATGAGGTAATTCACATTCTTCTTGCCGAGTCGTCAGGGATTGAGTTGCATCCACCTCAAATGTGTATCCGTTTAGCTGGGCCACAATTCTGAGAGGTTTGGCAGTTACATGATGATGTAACAGTTATGTGATGGTCCTCCATGTTGTGATAAACCAGTAGGAGGATGAAGGGTGGGATATTTACCCTTAATCCCACCTTGACCCCGATCTGAGGTAAAGGAATTTTGCAGGTGTGTGGCAAGAGATGAATGGAGACAGACGTGAGTAGAGAAAGAGGGACCTCCTACCCCCAAGAAAGCAGAGTCAGGAGTGGAGTGTATCCTTTGGTCCTGGGGACCCTGAAATGTGAAGCTCCTAGATGCAGGGAAAGATTGATGTCAAGATGTCGGGAGATCTCCCAGGAATGCTGGACTTACAGATGATAACAGGAGACAAAGACCTTTTCTCCAGAACTGGGGTTCTGAGTTTTAAACCCTAACCTCTTAAACTGTTAGAGAGAATCACTTTCTGTTTGTTGAAGCCACCCGTGTGTGGTATTTCTGTTTTAGCAGCCCTAGAGAACTCAGACCCACGCTGTCTTCAGGAGTCATTACGTATTCTACACTAACAAACATTGCAGCTCAGCTCAGGCACATTTCACGAGCTCACCAAGCTCTATGTGACAACTGGCTGCCATTCCTCTACTACAAAAAAATTAATTCCTGTATTTCCCCTTTGTCCTCTTCCCTCTATCTTCTGCATTATGGAATTCTAGTTGATTGTTTTTCTTAATGATCACGATTATATTTAAGTTACCATTTTATTGGAATGATCAATTTTAAATGATAATCCTTTTATCATTTAACTTGATGGGATCTGTGGTATCTACACCACATCTTGTCTCCATTCTCCTGCCCTCTCCATTTTTATTTCAAATCAATGTTTTATTGTGAATTATGTGATAGTTTACATGGGAGAGCATTAGCTTTACATTCACCCTATCGTACATCATTTCATTGCCATGATTACAATCTCCTCCATGTATCATCGAACAACCAAAGGGTATACTCCTCAAGCCTGCCCCTCAGTTGTCAGCACACAGCCCTCTC